ACAACTTGTGTCCGTTCAACATTTTTTTTTTGTCAGAAGCTTGTCACATTCTAAACAGACAAAGAAAAAAAAGATCAAGCAACATTATAGAGACTAAGGTCTGAGCTGGTGGGAGAAGGAATTTCAACTAGACAAGTAGTTAGCAACTTAGCATAAATCAGATGTGAGAGAACCAGGGTATTCCGATGACATCACCAACTTCAAGGAAACAAATTTTACACTAAAGTATTACTAGAGTTGCGCATAAATTATACATGAAAGAAACACGGCAATCACAAGACAAGAATACGACATCATCTCAAAACAGAAATTTCAAAACTAATTAGTGCCATAAAACATAATACCTCTCCATGAATGCTTCTTTACCAAAACATCAGCTATAATACAAGGATAAGTACTGTCATTGCGTTATTTATTTTTACTTTCCAAGCTCACTGTCACTACTAACTGAATAATTCAAGTGAATACGGTCTCAACCAGGCCAGTTTGAATTCCTATTTCCTGAAGCTAAAACTATGTTTTGACACAATCCAAAAGTACACATTATATATAATACACACAGTCGCAAACCCGCATGCTGCCTACACGTTTCAGGAAAATCTTATTTTAAGGAAATGTAGCACTTTAAATTACGGGTAATGCTTGCTAGGGAGACTAAATTTGGAGACAAAGTTTTGAAAACTAAAGGACATGGAAGTTGATCATTTGTTGATTACTTAAACGTTGATAAGCGTGCTTATTCCTATTGGTGACACATCATTTAGTTTGCAAATTTAGTCTTCCTAACATTACTCTTAAATTACTGAATCGAAGAAGAAACCATTACCTTAGTCAACATTATCACAACAAAGCTATTTTCCGCAACTTTATTTCCGTCCAACGTTGTGTCATCTTTAAGCACTTTTCCTTGATGAATTAGCATCTGTTGTGAAGCAGGGTAAACATCTGAACCCTTACAAGCTTCTATATGTTTCTTCACATCAGCAACCTAGAGAGAATATCAGTTGGTCATGATTATCGTATCTTCGATCAAGTAGTCAGCGATTTCCGCGTAGCAGACAGCAACGTAAAATTATAATTTACAACACCAACAAACTACATTTCCTACAACTAGAAAGCCCAATGCTATTCCAAAGTCTCCCATACAGCAAAATTCATAAATTTCAAGAAAAACAACGATAAGAAAATTGGTAAACAAAAAACAAGGATTAAATTAATAATGGAAACGTAAATTCACAGATTGAGCATTATTTCATTTCGAGGTCGAAGTGCGCTAATCCCTTACCAAATTACGAAACAAACGGATATTCGAAACAAAAACTCTAGAAAGCACTCCGAATACGATCACAATTGAGCATTATTTCATGCAAATTATGAAATTAACACGAAATTAAAAATTGAGAAACTAAATTTAATCAGAAGGATTGATGCTAACCGTGTCCTCGGGCTTCACTTCGAGGTCGAAGTGCGTGCCCTTGAGAGTCTTGACGAAGATCTTCATCTTCTTCTCGACGGAATCGCCACCGCCCTTACAGCCTCGGCGGCTGTGATCCGTAATGGGTTTCAGAGAAAGAAGCCGAATGCGCAAGTAAAGTGAACCAGCAGCAGACAAAAGTCGACAAAAATCCCAAATTTTCTGGTTTATATACAGCGGTCACTGGTGCCAATGCATACGCACTCAAGGGAGAATGTGAAACGCGTGCACTAGAATATACGTTGGATTTGAAGTGAGAAGGTGGCGATGGGCGCGTAGATTTTGAAATTAAAAAGAGGCGCGTTGCCTATTTTGGGGAACTGGTGAATATAGCGAGCTTGATTTTTGTGTCTGGTGGCTCTGATATCACCGTTTGATCCTCGCAGGGTATTTTTGTCATTTACAACTCATTTGATGTTTTTAGTGCCTTAATTTGACGTTTTAGTACCTTAATCACGTTCCTCCTTTAATAAATGGAGATGGATTGTCTGCCATCCCCTCCTCATATCTTCCTATTTTGTGTGGTCACAGTTAAGTCATGTTAACAATAATTTTTATCTTATTATTTTTATAAAAAAATTAATATAAAATATTGATATGGCTTAACCGTAATCGCATAAAACAGGAAGGCATGAGAATAGTATGAGAAGGAAAGGGAAGGGCAGTCGAGTCCACTATTGTATTTACCTTGAGTTGTCTATGCACCCTTTTACTCATTATTATTTCTATTTATTGCGGCGATTTTATATTATTTAAAATTTACGTTAGCTGATAAAATCATGTCATGTAAATAAAAAAACAGAGGAAAAAAGGGAGAGTGGGATAGGAGGGAGGGTGTGTCGCATGTGTAGCCGTGATTCTAGTGCAATCATTGCCATGTATGGCCAAATATAATGAGTCCAAACCGCGATAACAAGTGTTGCAGACAACGAATTTCTTCCAATATAGCGAAGGATAGGCATGCGTACACCCCTTCTATTTGTTTTCCACTTCAATTATTTTTATTCTTCAATAGTTTGCTTATTTCAATCGTTCGATGTTGAAATTCTATTATAAAATTAATTTACAATACGGAAACTAACTCAGCTTATTTATAAGTTTAGGGCCTCATGCAAGTTTCTTCATGTTCTCTATGTGGGATTCATTTCAAACCTAATACGAGCACATAGGACAACCTGTTATGATATCGTAAAAAAAGTTGAGGTTTCACCACAAAACTAATAGGCAATATTGAAAGTAGTTCAACATACTTTTATACTCTTGTAAGGTCCCTCATCTCTCTCATGTGAGATTCACGCTAATAATTATTATAATATTGTTTAATGAAAATAAAAATTTATATTTGGAACATATGTTAACATCAAAAGGTTTTTCTTTTGAAAATACTTTGCTCCTGCCTTGGTACACCTTCACCATATGAATTAAACGATTTACAATACATGTCAAAACCATAATCATTCTTTTTCTTAAAACACTGTGTAAATGTTTTATTTGCAAAAAAAAATATAAGCAAATTAAAGGTTCCTCAAGTATTTTTTAGCAGAAAGATTAATTAATCACTCATATATCAAATAAACGATCGATTCAACATAAAATTTAATTGTTATTTAATTGTCGATTGTTTGAGTTTTAATGGATAAATATCAATTCTTAGTTTTTTTTTCATAAATAACAGTTATCCTTTAGAAAGTAATCGATTCAAAATATGCCACGTGTATGGGAAAAATTTAAAACAATTAGTTCACCAACTTTGATGACATTGTATAATATATTTGGGCCTCTTTAATTTGGGCCACTTAATTAACCAAAAAAAGAAGTTGAGCCCACTGCTGGAATCATGCCACATCATCCCATTGAATCCTCCATACAAGGAGAGATTTTTCAATGTGACCGTCACAAGAGGTGATATATTATGTGTTCCTATATAAATGGTGAGTTATGTGTGTTAAAAGGTTAATAACTTAAAAATTTAAATTTTCTACCACTTGCATAAAAATACATAATGTACCATCCGTATTCCCGTCATAATTAAAAATTTCTCCCATAAGAGGCGACCTTAGAAATCCCCTCGTTTCATAAAATTCATTGAACATTATAATTTTGACAAACATCAACAAATTATACATATAAACAATTTTTTGTCCTCCAAATCTATTCAAAGTGAGGTTTATATTATTTTTTTATATAATAATTCAATGGTTTCGACCTCATTATTTACAAAATTAGAATTTAAAATCTCACTTATAATTGAAATAAATATAATTAAACCGTATACTAAATAGTTCAAAGCAAGTAATTGTAAGTTGTAACATCCCAAACAAATTATCACGCGGATGATTTAGGAATAATTAAAAGGCTTTTTATATTAGCATCTCAAAAAATATTGAATGCACCCTATATTAAAATTTAATATTAATGATTTATTTACTCTACTATGTAATGACAATTTTGACATTCTTAGGTTTAAAAAATAATAAAAATTTTATAAATACACTACAAATCTCTTTTAACGTATTATTTATCTATTTCAACTATCAAAATCCCTCTCATTCTCCATTGTTGAATAAAATCCTAAGCAATGAAACTATAAACATGTTGATTGAGAATAATTATTTTTGACGAATGGAACACGAAATCGGTGTTTTGAAAGCTTTGAAATCATTATTATTGTTATTGAAAAACATTCAAATGAGTCTAAACAGTTTTTTTAAATCATTCAATTTGAAATCATTCGGCAAACTAAAGTTCGTATAGTTTGAAATCATTCGGTAAAATAAAAATGAGTGTTATAAGATTTGAGAAATGTGAGATGTATAAAGAATGTGGGGTGTGTGTAGAAAATGTAAGATGTATATTAAGAATGTGGGGTGTGAGGGTATTATAGGGAAGGAAGTGGGGCGTATTAAGATAATTTTTAATTGAAAAAGTAAATATGGGATGTATTAAATACGTAGAGTTTATTCAACAATTTATGAGATGCTAATCTAATAAACCTAATTTAAAAAGTTACACGTGTTAACCAGGTCTCAGGTTCGATCCCACAACTAGGTCTCAGGTTTGAACCCTCCTTCTATCGTTGTCTTTCATAAAATAAAAATAATGCTAAATCAAAATTTCAAATCAAATTTTGTAAACAGTGTTTAAATTGTGAAAATTCAAAAATCTTGTCCTCCTAAGAGTTCAAATTGGACGAGATAAATCTGGGAATTGGTCAAGCATCTGAATGAGATAATGGTAATTTGACATATATTCCCAATAATCTTGATTTAATTAAAATTAACCAAATAAATTTTGCTTAATCCTTTAACAAGAACAGATTCCCAAGAATTTCCTTTTTCAATTTTTCTTTTGGCGCCAACGAATATCTTTGTGACTCTGTCATCTTCCATATCAGCCTAAAGTCCCACTCTAACCGTCCTACATATTTCTTTTCACGATCCCCTTTTAAAAAAAAATTATAACAAAAAAAAATTTACAGATCGGACCGGCGTTGTATTCCGACCAAGCGGCACCGTTTCGTTTCGAGCTACTGCGCCGGCAGTGTTTCGAAACGCCACGAAAACTCGCCGTAATCAGCCGAGTCAAAATACACGTCGTTGTTTCCGAAAAGCCCGTCAAACGCATCGTATTCAGATCCGCTATCGTGAAAGTTAATTTTATCTTGACTTCCTAAAAACAACGAGTCGTAACTCGGAACGGGATCGTCGAACCGCCATAGATCGTCGGCACCGGACAAGTCGGACGAAACTCGTACCAACTCGTTTTCTCCGCCTTTCGCCGCCTCGTCGCTGAAGTTCTCCGACGGAGGCAGGCCCAGCTCGTCGTCCGAAGCTTCTAGCAGGTATCCAAGGTCGGGATTTGACTCGCCGGACTCTGACGTCAGGTCAACCACCGGCACGGAAGCTGGATCGGTCTCCGATGCTTGCTCCGTATCCGATGCCGGACGCGGCGACGACCGACAAGAATTTGTTGCGGCAGCTATCTCTTCCTCGAAGCTCTTCATGACGGAGTCGAGGTCCTGAGCCGTGGGATCGGCGTCCGAGTCGTCGAGAAAACCCAGAAGGTCTTCCCTGAGCCGCTTCACCTCGGCCGAGTCGTCTGAGTTATCTCGGACCCGCTTCTTGTTATTTGAGGTGTAGTCCTCCATGTGTGAAATATTACCAATCGCAAGAGAGAGGAGAGTTTTTCAGATGAAGCGTGGGGATGTGGTGGTGGTGACAAAGCGAGGAGAGAAGGATTATATAAGGGGACAATGTAGAGAGAGAAAGTAGAGAGAGAAAGGAAGAGTGTGTGTGGTGATGTGACGCAGGGCGCGTGGGATGGAATACTTAGTCCATCACGGACGCCTTGCCTTTCTTTTCACATTTTTTCCCTTTTTTATTTATTTGCTTTTTTATATGGTGGTTCCCTGTTTCCAGATTTGTTTCTATTAACTCGATTGAATTCCGGGTTGGAGTCCGGTCAGTCATGGGTCCTACCCGTACTAGTCAATCCCGGCGCTGTTAGGTTCGTATTTTCCGTCTGTTCGGCTCGGCTCAGCTGACTAAAAGATTGTGGTTTTATTAGTTGCGGTGCGTTTGTTTAAAGATAGTGCTATTCTTTAATTTTTGTAATTTTAAATCAAAATTTTTTAAAGGAGTGTGATATCCACACATCATTTTTTACTTCTCACACACCTCTTGTTAATTTCTATCCGTTGATCTTCTTCAATTCATCCGATCCGATGGCTGAAAACCAAAAAGGTGTGAGATAAGTAAAAAGATGTGTGTGGATATCACACCCCTTTTTAAAATGAAAAGAAAAGTAAAAATGGGTATGTGTATAACAACACTCTTATTCTGAGCTAATGTTATAACAGTAGTGTAAACGTGTAAGGACAAAACGTTATAACAGTAGTGTAAGAACAATATAACAATAGTGTCATACAAGTTGTCTCGGTTTGTTTCACGACATGTGAGTGAAAGAGGAAGAAAAATTAATGAAAAAAGTTTTAAAATTTTGAGTTTTAATTAAAACGACAAAAATGTATTGTAATGAATAGTACCATGAGTGACTTTTGAGAGTAAAAATGTCAGTTTCGTTAAAAGTGAACAATAACAGAAGTGTTTTGTTAAAAATTCCCAAAAAAGAATGAAAATATAGGCAAGTGCGAGGGTGCTTTGGGAAAAGTGGGTTGGGCGTTTTAGAATGGAATCGATGGGATTGGATAGGGGGTTGGATTTAAGGTGGATTTAGATATGGAATTGACCCGGGGCGGGACTTGACTTTATGGAAAAAGGGGACGGGGTGGTGTGGAAGAGAAAGTTGTAGGTATTGATCGGGAATTCCAGTAAGAGCTTTATTGGGTGGTTGATTGTGTGGGTGATGATGTTGATGGGCACCAAAACCAAATGAAATAGCGTAAGTGCCGTGGTGTAGTACAGTAGTAGTACACCAAAGGAACAATACCATATTGCCTCTTTTTATCAAAAATTATTATTCGCATTTTAAAATTCTCTTTATGTGCATTTTATATTTGTATTTTTTTTTAATTCTAAAAAGTGCAAAATAAAATTTTGGAATATCAGTGCTAATTTTTTTATTTATTTATGCAATATATAAAGTCGGGATTTTGGAAAATTACAAAGTTATAAAGATTAAGATTAGGTATGTGTTATAAATTCCTTGTGAGTCATTTAAACCATGCTTTGATAATGGACATAACTTTTTTTTTTTAATTTACACCAAAAGCAAGGTTACTTTGAGTCACTAATTCAAATCGAATGCTTAACATGTAAAATTCTTGATTCAGCTACCAAAATAGCACATAATTACTTTACACATGAATCAAGTTTTACCAAATTTTTCTATAATTCAACAATTGTAATTCATTTATCAAAAAAATTAAGATAATAAACGGATTACAATTCACTCCGGAACTCACTGTCCGGAGTTCAAGGATCAAGCAATCTGGACAATTCAAATTGAATTCAACGGTTCTTATTAAATCTGTTCAATGGTCCACTTGACACAAATCAAAGGCTCCAATTTCTCTTTTACACAAACCAAATTCTTGAATTTCTTGGTTCTCAAGCTCTGAACCTAACATCCATAGCGGATCCGAATTCATAATAAACAACGAATGTGACTACGTTATGTGCCGCACCAAGAAAAACAACAAAGTCAATATACTTTAAAGGGTCCGGAAAGATTTGAGAATCCACTAATCCCAATGGTCATATGGATCATGCGGGGGTAAAAAAATATTGTTTCATATAAAATTCAATATTTGAAAATTTATTTCCATACAATCCATCTTCTCGAGGGAAGAGTCAACATATGTACCAAATAATTAACACCACTCGTTATTTAATGTAGCATGATTCAATTAGCCTATTAGGGACGTTTAAGAAAAATGTCCCTAGTTGCAATTTGTGGAATCAAACAACCGCGTCAACGAAGACATTCTTCATCCTTAGGGTTGTTTGGTATGAAAATTCAAAAGGTAGCCGCCGGGTGGGAGGACAACCTCATCCATATTTTACTCTCCCTACTCTTTCAAATCGTCCTTCGGAGCACAAACATTTCCACGTATGTCTTTCGAGCAAGGATTTTCTCCCTTTTTTTTCCTTCTCTTTTTACCTCTCCGGTTTGAACGCTTAAGATTTCATTTTTGTAAAGAGAGAAAGAAAAAAAAAACTGTGAGAGGAGGGAAAAGAATCCGCATCAATCTCTTCCTCGATCTCATGCTTCTCGCTTGGGGCCACCTTATAGTTTCCACATGATATTATGTTATCGTCTGTTACATATTTATAGCACTGTCACATTAATGGTAGCAATTGCAAACACGACTCAACAATTGCACGATATTAAGGCTCATGTATACCTAATTATAACATTAAATATACCAAAACCATTCAACAAGTATTACTTTGATAAAGTATACTTCTAGTTTACAAGATGAATATTATGAGTTGTATTGACTACTATTACATGGAACCATAACCGTAAGTTAATACGACCAGTATACGAACATATATAGATAAATTCAGTTACATTTGGCATATACATCGCATGCCAAGGCTGAAACAGCATTCCAACTCCATTTCAAAAGAGTTTTGCCCTGTATTTAAGCGGTACTCCACTTCTCGTATTAGAAGTAAGGAAAATGTATAATTTTATGTATCTTTACTTATTCGATTACACATGAAGTGGCCTTCAACATCGGAAACTTGGAAAATTTTCAATTTGTAGAAGAAAAACCAAGAGTAATGCTGGAGATATTAAATTTATAGACAAATTTTGAAAACTAAACGACATGTAAATTAAAGATTGTATTATGACTTAAACGTTAATATTAAACGTACTTATTTCTATTCGTAACAAATAATTTAATTAAATTTTTTATTTATAAATTTAATCTTGGGGGACCACGCCCTCGGGAGAAACTAGCGATGATTGCCTCTCAATGGAATTCGTCTTCGGGGGATATTTCTTTGAGAAGAATGCAATTTCTACGTAAAGATGGTTGCCTGACACGTCCGAGTCTAAACGTACGTACGTATGGCAGCCGCTCCTCTATTGATACATTACTGTTTCTTGTTTTTAGGTTTGTCAACTTGCCGCCGGGACATCTGCCTCCACGTTTCCACGTGGCCCTAATGTCCATTATTTTTTGTATTTACTTACTTTTGGCGCCAGATTATTTATATTTTATTTTATGATTTTCTTTTGTCAACAATCGTAGATGATGGGAGGTAGAGAAGGAGTGATGCGAAGGGCAAACGGGGTCCCGCGTGTTGCGATGGTGGGTTTTAAAAGCAATCACATGATGCAGGGGCAGAAGGTCTAATCCGCCCCCAAATTCCGTTCATTTAGGTCGCGTTTTTCACGTGTTTTTCACGGTTCACGGAGATGGCAAGTTTGTCTTTTTCGGAGTTGGTGCGTGTGTGGATCGTGCTGACGAGGACTCGTAAGATACGGCAATGCCTAGTGCGCAACTCCAAGTTTGTTTCCTCCAGTTTTATGCCGGCCATGATAAATGGTTACACTTTTAATTACATCGATGTCTTTGAGATAAATTTATACAACATTACGGTCGAGATATAAGTTAAAACATTAGAAATCATTATAAATGTTCATCTAAATATTTAATAATTGTTTAATACTTGAATAATTTATTGAAAAATAAAATTGTAGTTGAAAGTCGTCTATTTCTTATTTAAGTACTAACCGCAATCTAGATGGATTTAGGCAATCGTCTAACCAAGTCTAAACACTCTTTTTTAATTTACAATGCTTAAAATTAATCAAGACTGTAATCAACTGTCTGACACCTAAACGGCATCAAGCGGAAATTTTTTAGCAATGCTTTTAATACACGAAGGTAAAGTGGAAACGTGCGAATTGTGTGGATTCGGATCATCTTTGTGAGGATGCTGGAGATTCTTCAATCACATCTGTTCATTGTACATCATGCAACCAGTTTTTGTCAGATACTGTTTATATTTAATTTTAAATAAAAAAAATTTACAATAATTTCTAATTGCATAATGGATGATGAACAAATATAATTGAAGAATTCTCGAAATCCTTACAAAGAGGATCCGAAAAAAATCCTTAGTTGGGGGTGTGTAGATGGCATTGCAGTCTGGCCAGACCACGTCTTTTGATTGAACCGTCTCGTCAGGTGGCAGCACGCCCTCACAGTATCCGATCTTATCATTTCCTTTACTTTCTTCTTTATTTTATTAAAACTGGGTCAATACAATTTAACTCAATTATTTTATTTGTTAAAATTAATTAATCTTAATGCTCCATTTTAGTCGTGGCTTGCAATATTGGAGAGCCTACTTTTCCTCCTTTCTCTTTGTTTGATTGTTTTCGGGGCTACCGGCATCTTCTTTCTGATAAAATTCTATTTGCATAAGTCTAATGTAATATTAAAATTATTTTAATCAAATTAGTTGAAGAATATTCAATTGTTTTTTTGAAAAATAGTTGTTCAACATTATCTTAAATAACTACGTGTAAAGACAGTGATTAATCATCAAAATACATGGCCTGCCGCCCGACCCTTCGTTTTCTTGGGAGGAGGCTGCTGTCTAACCTTGTTTAGTATCTTCTATTCATGTCATGCATGATAAAAATATTGATGCATCGCCCCAT